TCAATATACAAATGCAAAATGATATTATTTAGATAATATTTCTGTAAGAAATGCTTCCAGCTTTCCATCCTGAAATCCCAGGAAACCTCTTCCACTGTTGAAAAGGAAGTAGGATTTTCCAATTACAAGATGATACTAGTTGCTTTTGAATCTTGAGGCGCAAATATTTTGGTCAAAACCTGACTAAGGAGTGTGGGTTCTATCTCTCATGTAGAAGATTTATGGTAAGCTTTATTTTGAAAACGTCATTGGAATAATCTCAAACTCATTACATAATTCTCATGAAGGAATTTTTGCTAAGAGAATTTTGGGAACCCCTGCAGGAATACCAGCTAAACCCAAGTTTCTAGAAATTATCCTGGACCTGACTGGTATAAAATGAATTCTGCCGCCCAGATAATGGCTCTTGTGTGCCAATTCCTAAGGCTTTTTTTTGGAAATCAACCCTACGTGACTGTTTAGCCCTCTCAGAGCTGAGAGTTTGTGTTGGGAGACCTTTTGCGGTGGGGAATTTCCTGCTTCTTTTCTGATGCGGTATGAATTGTGTAAATGACTGTCAAACAGTTGGCCAGGTTGGAATTAGTGCGCTAAGACTGTACTAATTATTTCTTAGGGGAAGATGAGGAAGTGAGGGTGACCATTGGTTGCTGTTATTTTATTTAAGATATTTTCAAAGTTACCAGCTCTTTAGAGTTTGATATAAGAAAGTCATTCATGTTGGATTTTAGCGACAAGGAGGTCACTGAGAGGAGGGACTGCTGCAGGGAGCTGGGGGGATGATGGAAGAGCTGAGGGAAATAGCTCGAGTATAAGCAGGGTCCTTCAGTTGAACTGACTGCAGAGAAGCTAATGTCTTGTGCTGTGGTCGTCCGGGGATGGTGGCTGATAGCAGAGCATTCCCTGAAGTTTAAGGTCCTCAGATAATTTATTCAATGAAGATTTATTGAATGCTTCCTATGGACTGTGTTGTGTTCTAAGTGTTGGGGATGGACCCAGGAACAAAACGGACAGAAATCTCTCCTCCCATGGAGCCTATAGTCTAGGAGGGGAGAGGACAGGCAATTTCGTAAACAAACAGATTTATGTTAGTTAATGGTGGAAAAGTTTATGCAGATAAATAAAGTAGGAAATGAGTGATAGAGATACGGGTCCGGAAAGGCCTCTTCAAGAGGTTGACAGAGACTTGAACGATGTGAGGGAAGAAGCAGTGTGCAATGTGAGGGAAGTGTTCTAGGATAAGGGGGCCTTCAGGGCAAGGCCCAAGACAGAAGCATTAAGGCAAAGCAAGAGTGACTGGAATGGAGTAGAGAAGTGAGAGATGTCAGCCCCTGTAGAGGCTTTGGCTTTATACTGAGAAAGACAGGGAGTCAGTTGAGGATTTTGAGCAGAGGGGGGGACATGATCTAACTTACATGTGAACAAGACCACTCTAGCTCCTGGGTCGAGGTGAGAGATCCTGTGGCTGGAGCAACAGCAGTTGGAGTAGAGGTGGTGAGAAATGGTAAAAAGGGAGATATCCCTTGAAGGCAGAGCTGATAGGATTTGGGGATGGACACAGCGTAGACTGTAAGGCGGGGGGCGGGCTGTTGGGCTCAAGGATTACTTCCAGCTGGAAGGATGGAGTTGCCTTTAGTTAAGCGGGGGAAGCCTTTAGGGAGGGCAGGGGTTGGTTTTGGTTTTGGTGGGGGTTGAGTAGAATGATAATGTGTCCTGTTTGATGGTTAGAGGGACAAGGCAGAGGGCTTTTGCCATTCCTGTGTCCTCACAACGGCACCCTTAGGTATTGCAGACCTCGTGCACTTACAAAGACTAGGCATTAGGATTCGACACACTAGGATTCACAGTACTAGGATCCGGCACTTGCCTTGGAGGGTTACGGGGTCAGGCTTGGGCTGTTGGCAAGCAGAGACCTTGAGAGGCAGCCGTGAGAATTCACAAAGGGGACCCCCGTTGTGCCAGGGCTTCCTGCTGGCACAAACCCTCAAGGATGGGTCTTCCTTCCTGGGACCACTTCCTTTTTTCTTCTCCTTATGTCAACTTGTCACTGCCATTGGCGGCTGAGTCCAGCCAGGGTTTCTCTGTCCCCTTCTCTAACCAGAGTCTCTCTTCGTCTCTTGTTCACTGAGCAGCACAGCCCCCTTTGGTAACAGTGGTGCAAATATGCAAGTACAGTCCCCCCTTGGTATCCGTGGGGGATTGGTTCCAGGACCCCCATGGATACCAAAATCCACGGATGCTCGAGTCACTTATGTAAAATGGTGTACTGCGTGTTACAGCTGATTCTTTCCTTTCTTCTCCCTTGCCCCACCTGTTTCGTTACCTGTTTTGATCTGACAGGTGAGGACTTTGTCTTCACTGAGTTGCACTGATGTGTATTTGTATCATAGAATAATCAGAATTTATCTCATTTTGTAAAACTACATTTACTGGGGAAAGAGAGTCTGGTACTTCTGGGCCTTTGGGCATTAAGCCGGGGAGGGGCCACAGTGGTGAGGCAGGAAGGGGAGTCGGGGAGCATCACCCTTCTCTCTTCCTTCCCCCTTTTCAAGCTCTCCCCCTGCTTGCCTGTCCCCCTCAGTCCTGCTCCCACGTCCCTTCTCTATGCCAGGTGCCATGCAGGTACCTGCTGGTGCGGGGCAAACCTGGGACTCCCTAGCGGAAAGGAAGAGTCTTTCTGAATTCTTGAGCAGGCAGTGGGAGAATCCCTGAAGGTGTGAGTCTGGAGAAAAGCAGGACCAGATCTGGGTTTTAGAAGGAGAATCCCGGCATCTCTAGGAGATGGGGTACCGGGGGAGAGGCAAAGAAGGGTTGGTTAGAAGGTGGTTAAAATAAGTTGTGGAGGTGAGGGCCTGTCAGCACGGCTCATGGGGAGGAAAGTAGGAGAGCAGAGCAGAGGAGGATCTGGTGACTGGAAAGCGGGGAAGGGCCGCAGGGTGACATAAAGCTGAGTGGTGACAGGCGCTGGCAGAACCGGTGAGGGCAGGAGGCAAGAGGATGTCAGTGGAAGTTATGTCGAGTTTGAGGAGCCTGTGAGATTCCCATGTGGGTGAAGACGTTCTGGAATGGCCACTTAGAGCCACACTGAAGTTAGATGGAAACACAGGGTGAGCTCAGGGAAGATTCAGGGGCTAGAGAAGGACTCGGGAGTTCTGGGTATAAATTATGGTGATTGAAGGGATAAAAATGGGACACGGGCTGTGGGACAGCTCTCGGGAGAGCATCACTCTGTCTGTCTTACATGTATTTCCTTTAGAAACGTTTCTGCCAAAGCATGTTTTGTGCTGGAAGCGTGATGAAAGATAGTTTTGCTTGAACAGAGACAAATTATTTGTCACCGAGCTAGCAACAGCTTGGCCATTACTCATCAAATAGCCACGATCAGTGACATACACAAGAACTTCCCTTGGAGTTTTGAGTTCCTTTCAGCAGTTTGTTGAAAACACATTCATGACAGAATCTGTGCTAATGCAAAATACATCATGCACGTTAACTCATCCTTCAGGTGCTGCTGGGGGCTGAGAGGCATGAGTGGGCACGACCAGCGTGCGCTTCAACACAGACACAGACGGGACGTTGAAGCCCTTGTTTGGTGCTCTTGTGCCTAATGCTCTTGGCTCCTAATTTCTTCCCAGATCTGTTTGTCACCTCAGCATAACCTTATAAACCTAGTTTGGTGGCCTATGTTATAAAGGGTTGCAAATCTCTTCTCAGTGTAACTTCGTGTGTGTGGAAACCTTGTGAATAGATCATTTTAATAATAATGCTCATTGTTTGAAATGTTCATTATCAAGGTTCATGTTTCAGATGCTTTGCTGCGCTAGGAATGAAATTGTTTGATAACATGCCCACTGTTTCATATCCAGAACATGCAATTCTTGTAAAGGCGGTAGTTTGTAATTCATTGCTCTGACTTGAAGGGCGGGATTTTTTTTTCTTTTGAAAGGGTTTAATAACATTTACAGAAACAGGGAGCCAGTGCCAGAATTGATTCGACTGGCTTTGCTTTTCTTAAAGAGCATCTTCCTAGCTGTCTTAGGAGCCAGAAGAAGCCCCCCTGCCCCGCGAGGCTCGCGCTCCAGCTGGTCCACTGCAGTTCCCGAGACTGAAATCAATCACTGGACTGCCAGTGCCATACCGCCGCTCTGCAAGGCAATTACCACCAATCCCCCCCAGTCCACAGGTGTTGAAAGGAATTGCTTGTGGAAATAGATCTGGGAGACAATTACATATATTCACTTGGCATTAGTCAATGTTTTTTTTCCTTTGACCAAGTCAGGAAAAAAAATGTAATTTTATAAGACTTGTCTGAAGTAGATAATTTTTTATGTTAGCATGTACATTCGTGCGGTGAAAATTTTTCATGAATTACATTAGAAAGATGATTTTTCTAAACACACTGATCTTATACTGTGTATTATGTTGTATGTCTCCTTAGTTATTTAACACACGCATAATTTTCTTCTCAACTGGACTGTGGTCTTGTAAAAAAGACCAAAGTGCTTCTGCTATTGTATTGAACGTAATTCCTATCACAGTATTAGGCTTATAATAGACCATTTCATAATAAATCTGTTTGGGCTGAAACCCAGATGTAGTGGAAGATTCATGTTTCATATTTTTGGAGTCTGGATTTCATTTAGACCGAGTGGGAATGTCAGTACCTTATGTTATATTCGCCATCCACTTGTGCTCTGTGCATGACTGTGTTTGTAAATCTGGTGTGTCAGGATTATTCTGTGGTATCATTTGGAGAGCAGTACGCAGCCCTCAGGATTTAATTGATGTATGGGAAAGATGTTCTTGCTAATTGATTTCGAAGGAACAGTTGGGCTGCAACAGAGCTGTGTTCCTATGGCATTATTGTCACCGTGTTACTCGCATGGGCACTTTCACTAATGTATTAAGCAATAATGCTATTATTTACCATGTATTCCCCATCACTTGGTGAATAAATTTGAACAACCAAAGCTGAAGAGTAATTTATTCTTTGTTTTTCAAAGATCTCATCAGAAAATTGAAGACTCAGAAGAGAGCAGCGATGAAATTCTTTGTCGTCTAACGTCTGCGGTAAGGCCATGTGATTTCCCTGCCCAGGGGTGCAGAAATAATGAGGGGTCTTTGAAGGGCGGCGGTCTGGGTAGTGGTGTAGAGAGACACTTGCCCTATGGCTGCTCATCCCTGTGGGAGGCCCACGTCAAGGCAAAAGGAGTCAGTGGCATTAACTTGTTCTACTCTGATGCAGCCTCTCCTGCAAGACCATAGATGCTCTTGGTGGAAAGTTCCTGGAACCTTAGTGGAGGATTTTTTTTTTTTTTTTAATACAGTATGACTTAACCTAGGGAAAGTTGTGACCTGCTGCACAAAGGAGAAAAGACTATGTTTCATTAGGAAAGAAAAGATCACCTCAACCAACAAACGATCAAGTCCTCAGTTTTTAAATGTAGTAGATTGCAACATTTTCATTATGTCTTTTAAAGCCATTAATTAGAGTCAGTAATTGACTTGTTGGTTGAAGGAAAGCTTATCCCCTTCTTCCTAGAAAAAGCTGGCCGTGGTCTCTAATCATTGGACAGGCTCTAGCAATCCTATCTCACAAAATCTTTATCCATTGGCTGGGCTTTCTGGAAACTTTTCTAGCCTTACCAAAGATTCTTGAGTTCTTCTTTAACTGCATTCTTTAAGCGGTGCTTGCTGAAAGTCATGCTGGCTTGGGTTATATATGTGGAATGAAACTGATCTTACACAGTTCGTACACCGAGTCTTGGCATCTGGGCACAGCTTGAAAGTTAAAAGTTGTCTTTCCTACTCTTCTGGAATGTAGCTTAGAAAAGTAACTTTTGGCTAAATACAGTGCTCAGTGGTATAAAACGTCACATGAAATGAAATCTTGACAGCGTGTTATGAAAAAATATTTAACATGACCTTTGCAGTTTAAAATATTGACCAAAGAGGAGTGCCTATTAGGTGCAAAATTGTTAACAGCCATCTGTTTCACAAAAAAAACACTCACTACAGACCAAATACTGTGTTAAACATTGTGTGTGTGTGTGTGTGTGTGTACACACACACACACACACACACACACACGTTACACTTCACAACAGCCCTGTGAAATAAGTGGCGTTATCTCTGTTTTACAGACATGAAAGCTTCTAGAGGTTAAGTAACTTGCCCAAAGTCACCCATCTAGAAAGGAACAAAGCCAGGATCTAAACTTAGAATTTTCTGCTTCCTAATCATGTTCTCTTAACTACTACACCTCATTTTTTGATAACATAATACAGTTAGTAAGTAAGTTTCAGAAGCAGCAGACAGGTAAGATGTGGTTCCTACAGCTATACCAGGAAGACAGGCACATTAAAAAGTTAACCTATAAAACAGCTGGCAATTGAGCATCAAAAATCATGGTGTATAGATAGTAAGTCCAAGAACCGTAGCAGAGAGCTTCATTGAAGAGACGGGGCTTGAACCATCATTGAAGGCAATCAGGATGTGAACAGGTGACAAAGGATGTGTACTCTAGCTGTAGGATTTATTGTGTGCAGGCAGAGGAATGGGAAAATACAGTGGGAAAATAGTAGACCCATCTGGTTACAGAGGAAGCACCTAATAGAGAAAAGTGAAAGACTTTTTTAACAACAGATTAACATGATGAAGCAGACATTTAAGAAACAAGAAGATGAGTTGGAGATGGGGAGACTGGTTGAGAGGCTGATGAAAACCTATTATAGTTTCTGGAGGTTTTTGGAGGAACCAAAAGAAAAATGAGTTCAAAAAGGAGCATAAAGAAGTTTTTAAAAATCAGTAGGACAGGGCTTCCCTGGTGGCGCAGTGGTTGAGAGTCCACCTGCCGATGCAGGGAACACGGGTTCGTGCCCCGGTCCGGGAATATCCCACATGCCGCGGGGCCTGTGCGTCCGGAGCCTGTGCTCTGCAATGGGAGAGGCCACAACAGTGAGAGGCCCACGTACCGCAAAAACAAAACAAAACAAAACAAAACAAAAATCAGTAGGACAGGTACAGGTAGAGGAGGAGTCAGATAACCGAAGTTCTGAACTTGAATGGAAAAGTGAGGATACTCTTAGGAAACTGAGTAAAATGCATGGAAGGAGAGATGACGTAATTTTGCACACACTGAGTTTGAGGACATAAGGATGTAAAAATGTTCGGGAAACACCTGGAGACGCGAATCTGGAACTCAGAAAGGTCAGGGCTAGAGTTATGGGAACCAGTCCAGGTTGTCGACTGAGGAGCGTAGTGGAAGATGGAGTCTTGGGCAGAACCCATGGTAAGAGGGCAGTAGGGAGATGAGAGGGCAGTGAGAGGTGGAAATACTGAATGGTTTATACCATGAAAGTTAAATTCAAGAAAGCCTGCAAAAATGAGGGTGGACAGCAAACTGTTGGCTATGTATTTGGTTGAGGTAATCTTGCTAGAAAAAATCTCCAAGCTAGAAGACTGAGTAAACTGAGGTAAGGTGCTAGAGTGGGAATGAGAATAAAGGGTAGAGGAGAAAAATTCACATCTCAATTGATGGCTGATCGGCCTGGAATAGTGAAACTGTCTTTGAACTGAGAACGTGGACCTTGATTCTTAGTTCTTCCAACACTATGACCTCGGCCAGATTGGGTGCTGGACTAGACAATATCTAAGTTCTGAAATTCCTCTGTTCATTGTATAAGCATTTTTGAAGGGACTGTTGTGCTTCACCTCTTCATAATGTAGTTATTCCTGTTGGCTTTGGTATGAAAACTCTGTTACCTAGCTGTTAACACCATGTAGGAAGGGAGATGTTTGCATACATCAGTCAAGTAACGGTTGCCATCTAGCGTGACCCTTAAATGCATTAAAGGAAAGCAAAAGTGACGTCTGTAATGCAGACTTGTTAAAGTGCTCTTCAAAAGGTTTGTGTGGGCTTCCCTGGTGGCGCAGTGCTTGAGAGTCCGCCTGCCGATGCAGGAGACGCGGGTTCGTGCCCCGTTTCGGGAAGATCCCACATGCCGCGGAGCGGCTGGGCCCGTGAGCCATGGCCGCTGAGCCTGCGCGTCCGGAGCCTGTGCTCCGCAAATGGGAGAGGCCACAACAGTGAGAGGCCCGCATAACGCAAGGAAAAAAAAAAAAAAAAAAAAAAAAAAAAAAAGGTTTGTGTAATTAGGGGGCACTGGAAAGGGGGCAGCAGTTTCCCGCAATAGAGTTTACTGTACTGCCCTGTATATTCACCTCTTTTTACTCAGACTTCAGGGTTTTGTATGATGCTGTCTTCTTTTTTTGTGTGGTACGTGGGCCTCTCACTGCTGTGACCTCTCCTGTTGCGGAGCACAGGCTCCGGACACGCAGGCTCGGCAGCCATGGCTCACGGGCCCAGCCACTCCGCGGCATGTGGGATCCTCCCGGACCGGGTCACGAACCCGTGTCCCCTGCATCGGCAGGCGGGCGGACCCTCAACCACTGCGCCACTAGGGAAGCCCTGCATGTTGCTATCTTTAGAAAAAGAAAATCCTCATTTTAAAATAGTTTATTTCTTAGTCTCAGGTTAATCAAGAGAAAGGTCCTGTCATCTAAAAAAATAATACCCAAAATTCTACCCTGGAAGAAAACACTAGTGAGTTTTCATATTAATGGAACATAGGAAGACAATGTGTATAGAAATAAAAACATCTTGATAATTCAGTCAAGCACCTGACATCTGAAAACCTAAAGAAGAAAATTTTGTAAGAAGTTTTCAGCTTAAGGAAAAAGGACATGGGCTATAATAGACTCCTTCCATTATGTACAGTCTACAGAAACACTCTGGGCAGTATTATCTGAAAATCGTCTGGCTTTCCCTGCGGTACATGTGGTTTCTGCCTTAACGTCTTAGCTTCCTTTTTAATATCTTCTGACCTTACACATTTTGTGACCTTGAAAATCTTCTCTTCTTCATTTCCTATGAGTCTCTGTTAGTCTGATGAAGCTGGCAGAGCAAGAAGGGCCCTTGGATGGCATAGTCTCCCAGTTCCTGTCCTTGCAGTTCTGAGCATTATTTTATTTTATTTTTAAACATGAATTCTCCCAGTGTATATGCCAAAAGGAATGTTCAGAATTGATGGCATAGATTTTATATACTTGTTTTACAATCCAGGATAGACTAGACATAGGGAAGAATTTATAGTGAATGAAACATTGCTTTCAAAGTCATAGTTCTTAGGATGTAAATTTATGAAATAAGCTAAACTTTGAGGCATTTTAAAGAACTGAGAAGTACTTGGGCATCATCTAAAGACAGGAAGTGGAAACATGGACATCCTTAAATAGGAGATAAAAACTGATTCTGGACTTATAGCTCATGCTTCCTTAAAATCAACATCCCAAACAAACCATTTTGGGCTGTTTCTGTTACTTCGGGCTAAATTTTCTTGATGGAAATTGTAGAGATAAGAAAACACAAACATCTGAGTGAAATTCATGAGTTTCATTCACATGGTCAAAGGTGATGTGAGTTAGGCTCAGTTGTGAATTTTACATATTAGATGCTTATTTGATGCCATGGTTATATGAGTGACGTTTATAAAAGGACAGGGGTAGGGCATGTGGCGTGGTCCTCTGTGCTACTTGGTCCAGCAAAGTCAGCCATCACTTGGATGGTAGAAGAGAACAGTGTTGAGTGTCTACAATAAACGTGAACCTGGCGGTGGTAGTGGTGAAGAGTTTGTGGCCGTATCTTGAGAGATGAATTCAAATGACAAATCAAGCATACAGAAGTTAGGAAGAGAGGTCAGTGTGGATGAGAACAGAATCTAATACTCGGGAACCATTTAACTAGACACTCTTACACCCTCATATTCCTTCTCAAGGCTGATGTAGATGATAATTTTCAGCAGTTTAGATTTCTCTGTTGGTACATTTCTGCTCTATCCTGTTGCTCATTTTCTTCAGCTCCTCAAACTTTAATGTAGAACCTCTGTGTTTGATGCTCTTAGTGGTATTTTTCAAATTTCTACTCATGGGGTATATTATCACTCCTCTGAGAAATACCATTGAGCAGTCAAACCCAAATTATAAATGGGGTGACTGCTGTAAGTTCTAGA